ATGCATTAAATCTTTGAAATACTCATTTATTAATAGACCACTGGAAAGAACTGTAAACACAGCATTCGTAAATTGTATGAATCTGTCACGAGGTCATCTTTATTTGTATTATGTATATAGTTTTGTCTCCATTGTTCGCTGCATTCCAAATTAATGATTTTATTTTATTTAAAATTTAATTATTTTTTGGTCAATGTAAGTTTTATCTGTAAAGTTTGGTCTGATATATAAAACTGCAGTTGGATGGGTAACCTTTGTCTCAATTGTGAGAACAAGTCATTCCCTTGTGGTGGAGCGTTTCATAACTCTTCTCGTGTGGGAATAAATGTCTACAGAAATAGGCCCAGTGGCAGGTATTTCATACCTTAAGGTTCCTGTCTGTGAAAAGCCAACAAAACGTCCTCTTTCAGCTTCAGTATTTCCTGGGGTTGAGATTTTCAGCTGAAGTTTGGAAACAGCACAAATGTGCCATCTTATCCCTTCAGGCACCCCATGGTCTTATTTATTATAGGTGTAAAAAGGATTGGAAGTCAGCAGGGCCGGCTCCAGGTTTTTTGCCGCTGCCGAAGTGCAAAAAAAGAAAAAAAAAACCCACACAAAATTGGAGTGCTGCCACTGAAGCAAACCCCCCCCCCCCAAAACGGAGTACCACCCCCAAAGGACCGGAATGCCGCCTCTTGAGAAGTGCCGCCCCAAGCACATGCTTGGAATGCTGGTGCCTAGAACTGGCCCTGGAAGTCAGGTACTCTTCTGTCGTCCTAACTTTGGTATTGATATGCCATGAGGCTTAGAACAAATCATTTTACCTTTCAGTGCCTGTTTCCCTACCTCTAAAATGAGAGCACTTCTACCTCATGTGGGTGTTAGAATTAACACTCCAAAGAAGTAAAGATCTATATAAGTGAAAGAATCATCTGTCTCAGGAAAATACATAACCAGTTCTCTTTGGGAGAAGTCTAGTGAAATCTTTTCAGTTTAGAGGATGAAGTGACATGGAAAAACAGCTGAAAGCTTTGTGTACTGTGGCAGAGTTCTGACCTTGTCCCCGTGGGTCCTGCGCTTCTAGGCGGTTTATGTTAGCCTCAGTGGCTCACCTGTGACCCTCCACGTAGCCCTTCTCTCCCTA